GCGCTTCTTGCTTTCCGGCTCTTGGCTTCCCCGCGGTTTCAAAACAAGAAAAGCGACTCTGGTGGGACTCGAACCCACAACCTTTGAATGCCCCCGTCTGTCTAGAAGTCCAATGCGCTATCCATTGCGCCACAGAGCCAGCTGCCGTTTTTTTTCCTCTGCGCTGCCTACATCCGGGCCGCGGCGGCGCGCGCCGCCCTCTGCTCCTCCCGGAGCCGTGCGGGGCCGGGCGGGAGAGCCCGGAGCCGGAGGCGCGGCGGGGAACGCGGTCCGAGAGCCTCTCCGAAGCCCCGCGGCGCCGGCGCCGACCGCCCCGCGCCGACGCGGAACCTCATTGCGCGCCATCGCCCGAATCCTCCTGCCTAGTTAAGGCACCGAAGGCAGGGCTGGCAGCGCCCGGTTCCATAGTGTAGCGGTTATCACGTCTGCTTTACACGCAGAAGGTCCTGGGTTCGAGCCCCAGTGGAACCACTAGAGTTTTTCTTGTTGCTTTTTGCCGAAGTCCGGGATCTTGGAATCTTCCCCCCTTCCTCCCCCCCCCCCCCCCCCCCTCGGCATAACCGAGGACACCCCGGGTTCAGCGGCACCGCCGCGGCGGGTTCTGACGCCTAGGACTGAGTGCTTCCGTCTCAGCCCTGGGAAGTCTAAGATCGTTTTCCCGATTCCTGTTTACGAGCGTTTATCTGCTTTCAAGCGGGTCCTACTTTGCCAACAAACAACAAAATACCATTTCTGTCAGGATTTCCTGCGCTCCGGCAAGCTGTGCTTGCACGTGGTTCCATAGTGTAGCGGTTATCACGTCTGCTTTACACGCAGAAGGTCCTGGGTTCGAGCCCCAGTGGAACCAGCTTGTGCGCCTCGAGTTTTGCCAGGCAGATTTTGCCCATCTGAGTAAATATGGAGAGGAATGGGCGGCGTTGTATCAATTCCCCAAGCGCATCTCTGATCGTGGCCTTGGTGAGGGCTAGCTCCTGGTCCTGCGCATGCGCCCCCGCAGGGCCGGGCAGGGCCCTCAGCTCCCAGGTTTTCCTGCAGGTTTGCCAACACCGTCCTCCCCGCCTCATCTCCTATTACTAAGGCTCGATCCTTCCCAGGCCCTGTTGGAGGCGTTAGTCTCGGCCTTGGAAGAGGCGCACACGCGTAGACTTCCCGCAAAGAGCGCGTGCCAGGTTAAATTCCCACCCAGGGAGGTCCTCTCCCCACCCCCCACCCCCCACCCCAACACCGGACGGTTCCTTTCACAGGTGAAAGCGCTGGTTTATGTATTTTATTCTACTCTTGAGTGTTTGCCATGCACTTCGTTTCTTTCCTTTGAACTATTCGTTCGTTTCTTTTCTGTCCATCTTGGGGCTTGAACTCAGGGCCTGGGTGCTGTCCCTGAGCTCTTTTGTTCAAGGCCAAGGCCAGTTCTTTACCACTCTTGTGCCAATTCTGTGTTTGTGTTTGTTTTTGAGTGGTTAATTGGAGATAAGAGTCTCACAGGGATTTTTCTGCCCAGCCTGGCTTTGAACCATCAACCTCAGATTGCAGCTGCCTGAGTAGCTAGGATCACAGGGGTGAGCTACTGGTGCCAGCTTTATTTTTATTTTTTATATTGTGTTTTCTCTTTTGTCTTTACTTTTTCCTTGTAGCTTTAGATTCAGAATGAGTGTGTGTGTGTGTGTGTGTGTGTGTGTGTGTGTGTGTGTGTGTGGTTGGTGGGATGTCTTCAGAGGAGACATCAAGACTGAGACATTCTTGTCTGCTCCAGGGTTTGGCCATAGTAAATGATTAAGACATACAATTTTTAAATGAGGGGGGAAAATGGATGAGAAATTCTTGCTAAGCCGACTTGGGAAGATTTTCTTTCCTTCCCTTTGTCCCTCCTTCCCTTTCTGGCTTTATTAAGATGTAGCGATATAACCTAGGCTGTTTTCAGATTCTTCCATCCACCTTCCTACGTTGGCCTCCCAAGAGTTGGGATTACAGGCGTGCATCACTACTCCTGGGTCTTCGTGGGGGGAGGGGGAAAAAAAAATCTCACAGAGGAGGCAGGTGGGATTGATCAGATATGGAGGGTGGGGGATTCTTCATAAAGTGAGTTTTGCAAGACTCTTTCTAGAACTAGATTGTTTGAGCTCCCTGGGGAGGCCACACCCTGGGCTAGTGGAGATGGAGCTCCAAGGAGCCTGACTGAAGTTTGGCCCAGGAGTCAGTGTCTGTCAGTAAACTGCACAGCCTCATGTGTGTTCATTTAACACATTAAGAAAAAGACATTTTAGCTGTGGTACTTTAGAAGTCTGATCTTCTTTTAAGTAGGTTTAGTTTAGGCTCTTTTATAATTGAAATGTATCCCTCAAAGAAGAGGAAGAACCATTTTGTCTTTGAAGGTCTTCAAACAGGGCCCATCCTTTGCAAAATAAATGTCTTATCAGAGATCACTGTATTTAAAGCTTCAAGAAGGCAGGACCGATTAAAGACTATGATGCAAAGCCTGAACCCATTGTATATCTCTTCTAGAAGAATAGAGAGGAGAGAAACTTTTGGATCATTGGGTAGGGAGGCGAAAATTTCTTAACTAGGATACAGAAACTATGATCCATGGTAAAAAAATGAAGTCACTTGATATAAGAATGTTTGCTTCTCAAAAGACATTATTAAAGAAAAGAGAAGCCATCAATGTTTTGCAAAAGCCTTCTTTTTGTTAAAAGTTTTGTATTGACTTTATTTAAAAACTCATGATTCAAACCTAAGAAAATGGACAACACAACTCAAACACAGGCACAGATCTGAGAACAGAGACATCATCACCGAACATAAATCAGAGCATAAAGAAATTCTCTCAACACTGCCTCTTTGGGAGAGTTCAGAAGTTCTCCTGTCAACCTGAAAACAGCATAGAACCCAGTTATTCCATGCCCAGGTATTTACTGGGGAGACCTTAAAGCATATAGTTACACAAAGACCTACAAACAAGTGCTTGTTAACAGTTCAATTCATGATCGCTACAAAACAGGAAACACTCTATACGTTCTTCACTATATGTGACCAGAGGAGAAAAGGCTCTCTCTCTCTCTCTGAGCATTTATACTCAGGGCTAGCACTCTACAACGTAAGATACAGTTCTTTTTTGGGGGGTGGGGGGTGGGGGGGATGGTTTATTGGAGATAAGAGTCTCATGGACGTTACTATCAGGGCTGGCTTTGAACTACCATCCTCGGATTTCAGCTTCCTGAGTAGTAGGATAACGGGTGTGAGCCACCAATGGGTGGCTGGGATTATGTTTATGTACAAATTTGGGAGAGGAGCATAAGCATTCAACCAACCGGTGATGTGGGAGACAAAGGAGTCAATGGTCTTAAGTCCTAGTCTAAGGGGGAAGGTCCCAGACCAGCAGCACAGAAGATGCACAGCCCAGCTCAAGCAGATGGAAAATTTGCCTTTCCTCTGTCTCTCCTTAACATATGGTGTGTGTGTGTGTGTGTGTGTGTGTGTGTGTGTGTGTGTACCTGTACTGGGGGCTTAAACTCAGGGCTCCCAAGTTCTCATTTGGCTACCACCACTTGAACCACAGCTCCAGCTTCTGGCTTTTTGGTAGTTAATTGGAGCTAAGAGTCTTAGGGATTTTCCTGCCCAGACTGGCTTCAAACTGTGATTCTCAGAGCTCAGCCTCTGGATACAGGAGTGAAGCACCAGCACCTGGCCTGTGATAACAAGTTTTAAAGCTTCATCTTGGGGAAAAAAACAATCTCAGGTTCTTAAATAGCTTCCCAAGAGAGAAACATGGAAAAGGGAATGGCTCCCTCTAGTGGTAAGGAGAGGTTACAAAGCATTTTACTAAGTGCTGTTCTTAGGAAAGCTTTTCTTTTTTAAAATTTTTATTTATATTTTAGAAGCTCAGTTTCTCTTCTTAGGGTTCATATCTATAATTCATATCTATATTGAGAGGTGCAGATTGAGAGGATCATGGTAGAAGCCAGCAAGGACACAAAGTTAGGGAGACCTCATTTCAATCAAAAGACCAGACATCATGGTAGACAGCTGTGTTACCAGCTACCTAGGAGGCTGTAGACTTTGCCTACTCAAAACCACGAGACTCTATTTGAAAAATAAAAGAAGAAAAAAAGAGTGGGAGAGGGGGCTTCTTGTAGCCCAAGTTGTAGATATGTGTTGAGCCAGCTCAAGAACCTGAATTCAAACTCCAGGGCCACCGAAGAAAGAAAAATCAGCTTCACTCTATGGGAGATGTTGAACAATTTAACAAAGATTATATGAGTCTGCATGAGAATAAACAAGTTGAAACTGAGGCCCAGAGTTCAAGCCCCATGACTGACAAAACAACAACAACAAAAAGAATCAAGTTGGATAACTTCCTCTTAGACTCCATTTCTTCCTCTGTGAAATGACAGGTGTTTGGGTGATGGAAGCATTCAAGTTCCTTTAAGAGCTGACAGCTTGTATATCCTACAATTTATGTTGCCAACAACCTCAGCATGAGAAAAGCCGATAGGGCTGATAGTCTCCAGACAGGGTTTAAAAAAATTATTATTTAAAAATCGTTACTGGGGCTGGGCAGGTGGCTCAGTGGTAGAGTGTTTGCTTTGCATGCATGAGGTCCTAGTTCGATTCCTCAGCACTACTTAAGCAGAAAAAGCCGGAAGTGGCGCTGTGGTTCAAGTGGTAGAGCGCTAGCCTTGAGCTGAAGAGCTGAGGGACAGTGCCCAGGCCTAGAGTTCAAGCCCCGTGACCACCACCACCACCAACAACAAAAAACAATAAAGATGGTTATTATAAAGGTGATATACAGAGGGATTATAGTTACACAAGCCCAATAGTCAGTACGTTTCTTTTTGGACAATGTCACCCCTTCCCTTGCACCGTCCCAGTTTCCCAGTTGTATAGTTCATTTATAACATAGTGTCTAGTTTGCCCCTCCATTTCTGTGCCCCCCTTTACACCACCCCCAAAGATAGATAAATGAACACACAGATAAAAAGAAAACAAAAAAAACAACAAAGAACAACCTTCTTGTTTTCATTTCCTGGAGTTCATTTCCATAAATGTTATTCTGTATGCTCAGATGCACATAAGCATTGCACCTTCCTGTTCCTCTCCTAAGCGTGACTTCCTGTGGAACCACTATGTGTGAATGCCTAGCATCCTGTATAATTCATCATGTGAGGACAGTTTTACTTAGGAAGGCTGCACTCTAGGACAAAGATAAACTTGGTTTCAGGGTGATCCATTGAATGGGATCTTCCCTTGGGTTATGAAAAATTACTTTCTAGTATCTCTCTCCTTCCTACCTCCTTCCTTCCTTCCTTCCTTCCTTTCTTTCTCTTTTTTCTTTTCTTTTCTTTTTTATTTTTTTGTCAATTGTGGGGCTTGAACTCAGGGCCTGGATGCTGTCCCTGAAACTCTTTGTGCCCAAGGCTAGTACTCCACCACTTGAGCCACAACTCCTCTTCTGGCTTTCTCTGAGTGGTTAATTGGATATACAAGTCTCAAGGACTTTCCTGCCAGGGCTGTCTTTGAATGGTGATCTTCAGATCTGAACCTGCTGAGTAGCTAGGATGATAGGTGTGAGCCACCAGCACCTGGCTGAGAAAACACTTTTTTAACAAAATGAGCAGGTATGCCATCTGAGACAAGGAACGGGAGTTGTGTATATTGAGTGTTTTTTTCTGACTAGAAACGAATTGCCTGCAGCAGGCTGCCCTCAGTGGATTATTGGTCTTTCCCAGACTCTCTCAGAGCACAACTTAGAAAGTGTGTTTCTAATGGTGTCATTGATTGAAGCTCAGGCATTGGTATGTTCATAAAGTTCTCCCTCCAAAAGCTGTAGATGCAAGGTATTGTATATTCTACATCTCTCGAAAGAGTTGCTACATTCTCTGCAAGCAGACTTTACCTCATCACAGCGCCAGTTAATATTGAACAGTTCCAGTTTTTCATAAAAGATTTGGGAAACATTGAAAAAATGCATTACAAATATATTTTTTTTCCTGTAAAGTAGAATTCTCTGAAACAATTGCAGCTATGCTGCGAGCATCTTAAAGGTCGGCGTGTTCCAAGTGGTGATTACAAAGTAATGAGCGGAGGTTGGAGGCATGGCTCAGTTCATAAAGCGCTAGCCAAGGAGTGGAAGGATTAAGGTATTGCGTTCGAGTGCTGATCCTGGACTAAAAGAAAGACAGAAAAAAGAATAGGGAAAACAAATGAGTTGTTCCGCAGAGCTACAGGCTGTATGATTCGAACCATAGGATATGCTGGAACAGGAAGACAGACGTGAAGTGCTTTCCAGGGCCTGGGGGGAGAGGAGGGGTCAATCAGCAGAATGCAGGGGATTTGGGGGGACAGTGCTATGTTTCTCAATGATCCCAGAATCATAGATACACAACCTAATACATGTGTCCAAAGCTGTAGAAATGTACAGTGCAGAATGGATTCAGATGGAAACTATGGACATTAGTCAACAATAATATATCGATATTAATTCACCAATTGCTAACAAATACAGTACACTACAGGATGTAATGATAGGGGAACACGGGGAGAGTGTTTGTGGGAACTCTGCGTAGGTTTCATTTTTCTATTAAAACTGTTGCAAGAAAGAAGCATCTGTGAAAAACATATGCCAAAGGATAAAGCATTTGACATCCTAAAGGCATCGTAAAACATCTTCTAACTTTATTGCCAACTTACTTCTGATAAACCTTAATTTGGGCAGGGCGCCAGTGGTTCAGGCCTGTCATCCTAGCTACTCAGGAAGCTGAGATCTGAGGACTGCAGCTCTTCCTCCACCCAAGGAGACAACCCAGGGATGACATTTAAATCTGCTGGTGAAAGACCGCGTGCCTGTTCCACCGTGGATCACCGAAGGGAGCGCAGGCCTCCAGGAGCCCGGATAGCTCAGTCGGTAGAGCATCAGACTTTTAATCTGAGGGTCCAGGGTTCAAGTCCCTGTTCGGGCGCAAGTTATTTTAGGCTTCTCTGTCCGGGGCTCTGCTGAGCCTCAGCACAACTCCAGAAGGAAACCACGCTAAAGCAGATTTCTCTTCCCACTGAACTGTTGCCTTTTCTTCAAGGATTTTCCCCAAAACGAACCTGAACCTCAAGAAAGGCATAAAGCCAGAGATCTGGCCCCCGTCTGGGCATCAGAACCACAGCAGGAACGGAGGTCTCGGCCGGAGTGTTGCAGGTCTGGGCCGAGCCAGGCGGGGCTGCGCCCTGGGCCAGGCGGGACTGCGCCCTGGGCGGGTGGCGGGACTGCGCCCTGGGCCAGGCTGGACCGCGCCCTGGGCGGGTGGCGGGACTGCGCCCTGGGCGGGTGGCGGGACTGCGCCCTGGGTCAGGCGGGACTGCGCCCTGGGCGGGTGGCGGGACTGCGCCCTGGGCTAGGCTGGACCGCGCCCTGGGCGGGGACAGCGCCCTGGGCGGGTGGCGGGACTGCGCCCTGGGCGGGTGGCGGGACTGCGCCCTGGGCCGGTGGCGGGGCTGCGCCCCGGGTGGGTGGCGGGGCTGCGCCCTGGGTGGAGCGCGAGGCGAGGCGAAAGCGAGGAATCCGCCTCGGCCGCGCTGCTCCTGCGCCGGGCAGCCCTGGCCCGGGGTCCTGCGGTGAGATGCACAGATTGAAAAGTCTCCTTAGGAGACAATCTGCGGCCCCCGCGAGGTGACCGGAGGGGAGCGGGGCCCCGCAGCCTGCACACTGCAGGTGATGGTAATCCTAGGAGCTAGGAGGGGTTTAACCCTGGATATCTCATTGTGTGCAGGTGATGGTAATCCTAGGATCTGGGAGGGGTCGAACTCTGGATGCTCTTTCTGAGGGAGTGGAGTGTGTGTAAGAAAACGTCCAACATCTCCAGCACGAATAAAACCACTGCCGAAACCCGGGATCGAACCAGGGACCTTTAGATCTTCAGTCTAACGCTCTCCCAACTGAGCTATTTCGGCAAAGGCAAGAAATTCTCTTTCTCTGCTAATGGGAAATTTAAAAGTGAAAGAAAAAAAAAATGTCCCCACCTCTCCACCTTTGTAGAGGTGATGTCCAGAATCCTGGCAGGAAAGTTCATGAGACTCTTTATCTCCAATCAACTGCCAGAAAACCAGAAGTGGTGCTGTGGCTCGAAGTGGTAGAGCACTGGCCTATAGTGAAGAAGCTTCTACACAGCATACAGGCCCTGAGTTCAAGCCCCTGACTGACAAAATAAAATAAAATTAGATTCTTGCCTCCTGTATTTTCGCTCCATTTCAAAAAGAGCATGTAAAACAAGTGCTACTTTGGGTGTTGACACACATCTAGATACAGTGGTTTTGTCAGTTCTTTAAATATGATATTGTTCCTTTCTGTTTTCTTTTTGTCTTTTGTTGGTAGTACAGGGGATTGAATTCAGAGCCTTGCATTTACTAGACAAGTGCTCTACCCGACCCTTTTTGCTTTTAGTTTAATTTTCTGATAGGGCCTTATGCTTTTGCCTGAACCTGGCCTTGTACTATGATCCTCCTATTTCTGCCTCCTAAATAGTTGGGATTACAGGTATGTACCACCATTCCCAGACCTTACCTTATTTAAAATCAGCTTTTTTTTTTTTTCTGAGGTGGAACTTAAATGCAATAAATTGTCATATTTAAAGGGTACACTTCGGTGGGTTTTGATAACCATATATGTGCATGTACATAAAATCATATCTATATATTATTAAACTTTTACTATAATTAAGATATTCATCATCTACTTATCTCTTCTGTCATCTTTCTTTATCATTTATCATTAATATATAATCTATTTAACTAGTAGACTTTTACTATAATTAAGATAGAATGTAGCTGGGTGCCAGTGGCTCATGCCTGTAATGCTAGCTACTCAGGAGCCTGAGATATGAGGATCGTGGTTCGAAGCCAGCCTGGGCAGGAAAGTCCATGAGACTCAAATCTCCAATAAACTACTCAGAAAAAGCTGGAAATGGTGCTTTGGCTCAAGTGCTAGCCTTGAGCAAAAGAGCTTAGTGACAGCACCTAGAACCTGAGTTCAAGCCCCATAACTGACCAAAAAAAAAAAAAGCCACAAAAATAATCCTTTCTTGTTTTTTTTTTTTTAAATTATTTTTCTTCAGTAAGTTAGATTTAATCATTTAATTGACATGTTGTTACTTTGGTCTTTGAAAATACGTCAGTGTGCTCAATCTCATAGCAAGAGTTACTTTATGCTGAAGAGAAGTTAGTGTTATTTGGTACATATGTTTTAAATAGAAAAAAATAAATAAAAGTAGTTCTCTAGAACACCTAGTTGGTTAGTTCATAATGGGTTTCTGTATATAGATCTATGAAAAACACAATCAAAGGAGACTCATTTACTGGGGAGAGTCTGGGATTTCTTTTTTACTCCCTTTGGGAAGGTCCAAGTCTTCTCCTGAGCCTCTTCATGGCTGATTTCATCTCCTGGTTCCTCAGAGTATAGATCAAGGGGTTCAGCAGAGGGGAGATGACAGTGAAGGTGACAGAGATGGCCTTGTCGGTGGGGAGGGCGGTGAAGGGCCGGGCATACACATAGATGCAGGGCACAAAATGCAGGGTCACCACGGTGATGTGGGAGGTGCAGGTGGAGATGGCTTTCCTCCTCCCCTCTCCAGTGTGAGACCGCAGCATCATCAGGATGACGGTGTAGGACACAAACAGGAAGGTGAACCACAGGGTAGCAACCAAGCCATTGTTGGAGATCATCAGGATCTCCAGAAGAAAGGTATCCGTGCAGGCAAGTTTGAGCACCTGGGGGACATCACAGTAGAAAGTGTCCAGAACGTTGGGCCCACAGAAGGGCAGTGGGAGCAGGAGGGAGATCTGCACGATGGAGTGGACAAAGCCCCCCACCCAGGAGGCCGCGATGAGGGCCGTGCAGCGCCCCCTGCTCATGATGCTCACGTAGTGCAGCGGCTTGGAGATGGCGATGTAGCGATCCAAGGCCATCACCGACAGAGAGAACACATCCACTCCCCCGATCAGGTGGAAGAAGAACATCTGAGCGACGCAGCCGTCGAAGGAGATGGTCTTCCTCACCGAGAGGAGGTCTCTCAGCACCTTGGGGGCCGTGATGGAGGAGAAGCAGATGTCGGCAACAGACAAATTG